GGATATAATGGAGCTTGCATGGCCTCTCCATGGTAGAAGTTTGCACAGTCTCTCCTATCATATTTTTCCCAGTACCTGGTGTCTTGACCTTTGTTCTCACATCTCCTTGAAGAATACAACCTGCTGTGTCCACATACCAGCCCTCTGATGCAAAACTAGATAAAGTACCAAAACTCTTAGGAGACTCCCTGATGCCAGATTCATCAATACCTTAGGTAAGGTGTCCATGTGCCTTGATGATTCCAGAATTGATGTTTTGTAATTAAGCTTCATTAGCCTTAGGAAAATTATCCCACCAAACCTCATTCCTTTTACCTTGCATCAAGAATTGATAAAGCTTGATTTTTACCTGAGTCTTTTCCTGTACTGACCTATTAAAATAAACACTCTGGCTCAGGTAGGCACTCATGTGTCCCATAAGGATCATGCAGCCCTTCTGATCACAGCTTTGTTTTATGTTTTATGTCTATATGTCTGTGTTTGTCTTATTTCTCATTCCACATCACTCTTAGTCAGGTTCACACAGCATACCCATGCAGGTCGTAGGCATTTGGGAAATGGCAGAAATGCTTAGAGTGAACACAAGCAATATTTTGGAGGTAGGAAGGAAATACTGTAATGCCTGTGTGCCTATTTTTAGTTTATAAGTCATTTGAAAAGAATAAGTGCATAAAATTGCTTCTTGGTATTGTTTACACATATAAAATTTATAACCAGTGCCTTTAATATTGTGTTTATCTCTCATGGTGATCAGTATCATTCACCTCAACATGGTACCATGAGTAGTTCCATTAATATGGTGGATGTTGTTTGTGTGGTTGTGAGTGCATTTCTGCTATTGCCTTATAGGCATGAGAACATATTATTAGCAAATGGAAGAGCTAAGCATCTTAGGCTTCTCAGTGAAGTACAGACTTATGCAAAATAGAAGTATAGGTTCTCCTTCCTTGCTTCATTTGCATTGAAGCTGTAAATAAATTTCTCAAACAGATTGTGGGTTTTTATTCATATTTAATGGCTTTTTACTGCCAGATCATAAGCACCTTGAAGGATCAAGATTTTATTTTATATTATTTTGTACATAAAGTGGAACATGCTATGTAGACCAGGTTAACCTTGAACTAAAAATACTCCTATCTCATCCTCATCACTATTGGAATTACAGCCATGTACCACCAAGACTGTTTTTACTCATACTTTATTCCCTTGGTATAAATATGTTTTTATCTGTGTGAGATAAACTTTGTTATAATATTTTGATACTATTTAGTACTTAATAAATTGTTAAAATTGCAGTACATTCCTGTGCATTTCTTTTGCCATACAGAGTGCAAAACAAGTGTCATTTTTTTGCAAAATATATATAAGAATCCCCCCCAATCCCACACCCTCATACAGAAGCAGAGCTTCAATATTCCAATGGCTGGTGAGTTGAGAAGAAATGCGAGACTCCAGGAGTCAGTGTCATTTGAGGATGTGGCAGTGGACTTTTTCTGGGAGGAATGGTAGGATCTGGATGATGCTCAGAGGACACTGTATGGGGAGGTGATGCTGGAGACCTAAAGCATCCTGGTGTCCTTGGGTGAGTGAAACTGCCCTGTAGCCCTCAGGAGCAAGCACTGTCTTCTTAGGAAATATATGAAAACTATTTAGGTGCACAGTTTCAGTCCATAAAGAACTCATTTGTTTACCCTCTCCCATGAAAAGTTATCATATGCTCCTTCATTGCACAGTCCCAAAGCTAGGGTTGGTCTTGCTTCAAAGAACCTGATTTATAATGGAGGGGATAAACCAATTCAGGGTATAATACATATATGTATTATAAGGAAATGTCACAGGAAACTCCATGTAAAATCATCATAAACAAACATTTCTTTTAAATGAAGGAAAGAATGGTAAAAGAAGTCCAGGGTTTGGTATGACATAAGGAAAGGGTGAAGGATGGTGAATATGGTGGAAGTATTATGTATTCATGTAAGAAAATGGGACAATGAGACCTACTGAAACTGTTCTAAGAATTGGGGGGATTTATTATAACTACTTTGTAAATGTCACAACGTACACCCAGTACAACTATAATACGCTAATACATAAATAAAAAAGAGAAAGAAATTAAATAAAAATTTAAGTGTAGTTCTTCTGTGAGACTAGTCCTATTTCCAGTGTTTGATAATCACTGTGTCTAGCAACTCCCTTGTTGGCAGCACAGGTACAGACTATGTCCATCATTGGAGAAAGAGATAGTGGGGGAAAAACCCTGACTTAATCATTTGACAAAATCCTATAATGTTTTGCATGAACAAGGCAATGCATCACCAAACCTGAACTCATAGTCAAGCTGGAGCAAAGACCAGAGGCATGGATGGAAAAAGAACCCCCAAACCAGAGCCCACCAGGTGAGTCAGTGCATCCTACTTGGGGAGGCCAAGAGTGGTGCCCAGGAGATTTGGCCATGTTGGACTGATTCACCAGGTTATCTTCCAAATGTAGACCTGAAGACAGTGTCTTGCACACATCAATCCTGTGCATTACAGTGTCCTGGGAGGACTCTTACACATATATTGTTACCTTTATCCCAAATCTAAACCATGTTCTCCTTAGATATTTTTCTTTGGTACCTACTTTCTCAGTCTTCTGATTCGGCTCACCTCCATTCTCATGGATGTTTTTCTAATAATTTCTTTTAATTAATTAATTTTGTTGGACTGGTGTTGAATTCAAATTTTGAGCTTCCAACACAAGCAGACCCTTGCAGAAAAGGTGCTCTATCACTTGAGCCATACCTGCAGTCCATTTGGCTGTGGTTATTTTGGAGGTGGGGTCCTGTGATCTATTTGCCTGGGGCTGGCTTTTAGCCAGAATTTCTAATTGTGGCCTCCCAAATAGCTAGGATTAGAGGTGTGAGCCTCTGGCACCTGGTTTAAAATTTTTTTTGAGACAGACTCCTGATAAGTACCCTGGGTTTCCTTGTAGTCTGGATCTTTCTGAATCAGCCACCTTAGGGATGGTGCCTGCCACTATGCCTGGTGTCTCCTGGGCTTGTATTGTCTGACATTTATTCATAAATTATTTATGCCTTGCCACATCATACTGAAGGTGGTTTTAAGCACTGGTAATTTTATAGTTGTAATAGTGAAAGAAATTATCAAAATAATGTCTCTTTCATTGAATTTGTAGTGTGCTGAGAGACAAAAAAGAAAGTAATCTATTTACTCAAATATGAACCATGAGCAATATTTAATCAATGTGAGAAATGGAAACTTGATATGTCATCATTTAGGAAGGATGGTCAGAGAAGACAGTCTTAGGTGGAGTAGGTTTGAATTTGCTGTGCTGGGGATTGAACCCAGGGCCACGAGTGTGCTGGTCAAGCATTATACAATTGGGCTACATTTGTAGTGGGATTATTATGTGTTCACCTTGGAATCTCTTGAGATTTAGTTACTGTTTTCAAAATTTTACACCTAATAGGTGAATGTGAAGATCTACATTTGAGAGTCTATATCACTCTTGAAATCATATTTGGAAACTGGTAGCTTGAACTTTAATTATTTATTTATTATTATTTATTTTAACTTATAGACCAGTTCACCTAGGGAGTTGATAAGAAAATGAGAAAAGTCCACAGTTAGCCTACTGAACCATGGTGTCAGACACCATGAAAATGGAGGATCCAGCATATGGGTCTGCATTTGGGGAAAAGCCAGGACATTCTTTGTCCCAATCTGAAGGAGTTTCATGCTCAAGAACTCAGATCTCTGTTTGGAGTTTGAAGTGAGCATTTCTACCTTCTCTTAGTTGATATCATTATAAACAACAAAGAGGAGGACAAATGTTGAGAAGTCTCCATGTTTTATGAAAGTAAGAGAAAGCTGAGAATCCAGTACACAAGGTAAAATCATTTGGGAGAAGTTGATTATCAAACATGGGTTTCTGTACCAGGAATTGGGGGAAGTACTGTGGCTTTTGATCTTAGTTAGAGGCTGAAAAGCATTTTATGAATATGATGGGCTTCAAAGGTGGGTGTCCAAGGTGGTGGGATGAAGTAAAACCATATTTCTGAGAACAGATTTAGTACAGTTAAATTAGAACTTTGTAGAAAGCTGTTTTCATCTAGAAAGACATTTTATTATTGAAAACATCCCTAGATGCATATAGTTATTCCCCAGGTAAGAATGAAATCTAAACAAGTATAGATGCAAGTGCTGTACCAATGCCATGTTGCTGCTTAGGTGGCAGTCAGTCAGACTTCACTTGCATCATGCAAGTTGCTGGTCCTGAAAATTCTTGCACATTTCAAAGGAGAATAATGAGAAGAGCAGCAGGAGACCCCAGCATTGTTAAAAAACAATAGAGAAAAAGAATAGGACAAAGAAATGGCAGAGCAAAAACACTCCATAGAAAATGATAACTAGGCTATAGATCAATATTTTAATCCAATACTACCTCATGGAAATAAAATTAAAGAAGCAAGGAATTACACTTCACCAATATAATTTTAATCACTATCATTTATTACTTCAAGTCCAGTAGGAAGAAAACCATTTACTTACAAGCCAATACCTATTGTAGTTTTTATGAAATCTTATGCCAGTAGGAGGGGAAGAACCTCCTTTGTATACACATGCACATTCCATAGAAATGCTTAGTTGTGTTTCATGTATATTTTTTTTTCTCATTTTAGTTGTCCAGAAAGTGGATGTCATAATTAAGACCAATGAGGAAAGTCAAGACAGACATTTGTGGCAGGCTGGAATCACTAAAACCAACACACAAACTAAGGAGAGTTATATTAGGACATGCCTTTAATCTGAGTTCAAACAATATTTCAAATTTAATTGTAAAGAATGCAGGCTCTTTAGGAATGAAGTCTGAAGACTTGAACATATGTCAGAACATGCTTCACCTTAGTAAGTCTGAAGGGATATATGCTGGTGAATAACCCTAACAGTGTAATCAGAATGGAAAATTCTTTGTCTAGAAGTCACATCTCACCCAGCATGAAAAAATTCAGTGTGGAGAAGCCCTATCAGTGTAATCAGTGTGAAAAAACCTTTCACCAGAAGTCAACTCTTAGCAGGCATAAGATAGTTCATACTGGAGAAAAGCCCTATAAGTGCAGTCAAGGTGGTAAAACCTTTGCATGGAAGTCATACCTCATCATGCATCAGATGATTCACACTGAGAAGCCCTATAAGTGTAGTCATAGTTAGAGAGCCTTTGTCTCAAAGTCACAACTCACTAAGCATGACATGATTCACACTGGGAGAAGCCCTATCAGTGTAGTTGGTATGGAAAATCCTTTCACCTAAAGTCAATCCTCGATAGACATGAGATAATTCACATTGGGGAAAGGCCCTATCAATGTAATCAGTGTGGAAAAACCTTTATCAGGAAATCAAACCTCATCTACCATGAGAGAATTCACACTGTGGAGAAGCTCTATCAGTACAGTCAGTGTGGAAAATCCTTTCACCTGAAGTCAGTCCTCATTGGACATGAGATGATTCACACTGGGTAGAGGCCCTGTAATGTAATCAGTGTGGAAAAAACTTTAGACAGAAATCACACTTCATTAAGCATGAGAAAATTCACAATGGAGAGAAGCCCTATGAGTGCAATTAGTGTGCAAAAACCTCTGGCCAGAAGTCACACCTCAGCAAACATCAGACCACTCGCAAGAGAGGAGCCTTTGGAAGGCAGAGCAGTTTTTTCAGAAATCGAACTTCAGGAAACATCAGAGAATTCACACATGGGAAAATCCTGAATGGAAGAGAATAGCTATGTGTCATCCAAAAGCTATTTTCTTTTCTCTGTGATACAGCAAGCTCTTCTCTGTACCACTTCCTGTGGCTAACAGTTCACAGCTCTCTGTGGAGATAAAGAAACAAGTGATGAACATTCCTTCCAGGCCTAAATTTAACAGTGACCTTCCAGTTCTCCCAGATTCAGGATGGGAGCATGATATGACTTCACTCACTGTGAATTCAGACAGAAATGAAAGAGAACATAGGACTTTCAACCCCTGGCCCAGTACCCTCCATTTGTTACATGTGTGAAACAAAACCTACTCTGTTCAGCCATTTTATGTGTGGTCTGTGCATTTCAGCACCCATAGCTACTGTTGCTTACTCACTTAAAAAATTTGGGAGGTATTCCTGAGAGACTTCCCAGTTCATGTTTATCAGAAAATTCATACAGAAGGGAAACCTGTGTTGTCATCTTCCATCTCAAAGTCAGGGTTTTGGAGAATGAATGAAATGTAGGGACTAGGAAGCAGTGGCTCATGCCTATAATCCCAGCCATTTAGGAGGTGGAGGGTGGAGGATTGTGGTTTGAGGCCATCCTGGGCAGAGAGTTAGTAAGACCCCATCTCAACTAATAAGCCAAGTGTTGCCACAGCTGTACCCAGCTGTAACTCTAGTGCCATGATTGGCATAGGTAGAACGATTCTGTTCTAAGCCTCTCTGGGCAAAAACTGAGACCCTATGTGAAAAATAACTTAAAAAATTGGCTTGGTATATGATTCAAGTGATAATTGTCAACATACCAACCTTGAGGTCCTGAGTTCACACACAGTTCTGTCCATAATACCCCCGGACTTGAAATTCATCTCCATCCTGTTTCAGAGGATCATTTGGGGTGACTTACTTTTTTCTATCCAATATTTTTTCACCAAAGTATTTTAGTAAAAAGCCACCAGTGTGTCCATAATATACTGTTGCATATGCAGTGTTCATAGGAGGTCTTATGTCCAGGGTAGGGAGTAAGTGTCTATTGCCCTGAATTCTTGGTAATCACTGAATTTGTGTGTGAGCCTGGAGCTTCCCATATCATCAGAAGTCTCTTTATAGGGTACAAAGAAGGTGTGAGGAGTATGTCCTGAAGGCTCAAATGTCCACGTATTCTGAACATGCCTAAATCCCAGCCCATGTGATTGATAGAAGACCACAGTATTCTTTTTTCCAGTGTGTGGGGTTCTTTTTCTGGCTCCAAGTCCATAGAAGTGTGTCACTTCTCTTTGTAATTGAGTCCTGCCTTGACTGAATTTCCCCTGTGCCTGACCTCTTCTTTTTGAATATCTTAAAATGATAGTGAGTTTACCTTTCTTTTGTATGTTATAGCATGAACTTTTTTTATGACCACTGATATTGATCCATTATTTCACTTATGATCTGTGTTGACTTCCTTCCCACATCCACAGGCTTTTCTGCATTCTGATTGGATTTTCAGTGATCTTAGACCTCAGTGTGTACCCTCATAGAGTGGGTCACTTTACCCAGGTAGCATGGCCTTTTCTGAGAGATCAGACTACAAGTACAGTAGTGGTGATTCTGGCTACAACTGAAAAAGACCCAATTCCCATTCTAGAACTGATGTCAAAGTCATGCTTTTGCCACCTCCATCACTTCTCATTGAGGATTCCCACACTCTGTTTGCAGTTCCTGATATTTCCTAAATGCTGACTGGAATGTACAGACTTTAAATATCAGTGTGAGTACATATATAAGGTTAAGAAATGCCTAGGTGTATCTTAAGGAAAAGCAAACCAAAAATAAGAAATTAGAGTATCTATCTTTATTCCAGACACACTTGGCTTTAAATAAAAAACCATTCCTAGAGTTTGTCCCAAGTCTATAAATGAGTGGTAAAAGTTTCCACCTGTCAGGCCCCTACAACTATAGCATTGGCTTAGAGGAGCACAAGGGAGGAAGAAGTAGAAAGATCCAGTTTGGATGGCTCTGGCAGAATATTTGGCTTTTCACATTTTTTTTTAGTGCACCCTTTTTTGTGATGGGTATTTGGAGTTAGGGTCTTGTGGTATATTTGCCCAGGCTGGCTTTGAACCAAGATCCTACTGATCTCTGCCTCCTGAGTAGCTGTGATTACAAGCATGAGCCGCTTGTGCCCAGCCTCTTGCAGAATATTTTGGAAATAAAGGGTTGAGGAATGTATTTAAGGATTTCAACCATGAGAATATCCAGAATGTTTGGCAGCATTTTTCAACATGCCAAAGAAGAAACACTGACTCTTTCATCACCCAAATAGAAACTCTGTTTGCATGACATGCTAACTCTCCATTTCCCTCTCCATCAGAAACTCGTTATGGCTACTGTGTATCTATGCATTCTGTTTCTTATCAGTAGAACTATAATAAACAGTTTGCCCAGGTTCTCACTCCTATCAGTGCCCATTCCTGCTTATGGCTGAATAGTACTCAATAGCATGGTGCTGGCATGCAGTGCTGTATAGTAATCATAATCCTTTTCATTTTTCCAATGTTGACAGTATTTTTCCCACTTTAGTTTTAAATTTTATTACTTGACTCCTCTACTTTCTTTTTTTGCTATTCTACCTAAAGGTTTGTCAAGTATGTTAGTTTTTCTCACAGAATCAATATTTGGTGTTACTGATATTTCCTTTGCTTTTCTCTTCTACTTGATTTATCTTTGCCATAATCTTTTTGTTTTCTTCCTCGTGCTAGCTTTGGGTTGAGATTTCATTTTTGGTGAGAGGAGATATTTCTGCTTTTCTCACACAGGTGTGAGAAATATCAATATGCCTCTAAGTAGTGCTTTTGATTTATTTCACTTAGTGAATATACTTTTATTCATTGTGATTTTGTTTTCATTCTCCTTAGTTATCATCTTTCCTTTTGGATCTTCTTTGAACCTCTGGTTGTTTAAAAGTGTGTGATTTATTTGCACATATTATTATCATATGTAAATTTGCAGTTTTCCTTCTGCTGTTGATTTCTGATTTTATTTCACTATAATTGAAAAAAGTCCCTTACAATTTCAATCTTTTTACATGTATTGAAACTTGTTGCCTAACACAATATCTGTCCTGGAGAATATTCTATGAGCACTTGAAGAGAATATATTCTTCTGAGGTTGATTTCAGTGCTCTGTATAGCCTGCTAGGTCTGATTGGCTTACAGTGTTGGTCAAGTTCTCTGTTTCACCATGGATCTAGGATATAATGTGTTAAAGTCTTTATTACATCTAATTTGGGTTCCTATATTTTGGGGGTATTCATATATTTGGGGATATTATGATAAAATTCTATTTTTGTGAATTGCAACTTCTGTCAATATATATTGACATTTCTGATGTACAATCTACCTTGCTTGATAATATTCTCATTATTGAAATATGCTGATTTAAAGGAACAACTTTTTTCTGTCTTTCTATCTTTGTGTATCTTGGTAGTCAAAGTGAGTCTCTCTGAATACAGCTTATATTGTTCATGGTTTTCAAATCTATTCTGCCAGTCTCTGCCTTTTAACTGGACAGTTTAACCTATTTGTATTTATAGAAATTCATGAGTGGGAATGCCTAAATTCTGCCACTTAACTATTCACTATATGTCTTTTTTTTCTTCTGGGACTGGGGTTTGAACTCAATTCCTGGAGTTTTATTCTAAGGTCTACTTGGTCTGATATGATTATAGCTACTCCTGCTTGTTTATGGGGTCCATTTGCTTGGAAATCTTTTTCCACCCTTTGACTCAAAACCAGTGTTAATTTTTGTAAATGAGATGAGTCTGTCACAAGAAATATATGGCATGGGTCTTTTTTCTTAACCCAGTTTTCTATTCTATGTCTTTAATTGGAGCATTGAGGCCATTATATTCAGTGTTAATATTGAGAGGTGTGTAAACCTCAATGCAGAATGAAACAGCAAAACAACTGCTCTCTCTCAAAATCCTACTCCAACACTAAAGGTTTAGACAACTTCATAGAGAAAGAAATATCAAATGTTGAATTCCAAAAAATAATAGTTATGAAGATTAACAAGATCGAAGAAGGGACACAAAAGCTAGGATGTGAGTAAACCATGAAATGAGATCAAAGAGAATACAAACTAACAGAAAATGAAATTAAGAAAACTATGCTGAATATGAAATAAGAAGTCAATAAAGATATGGAAAACCTGAAAAATAAACAATCTTAAATAAATAGCTCAATACCCTGAATAAAAATCTCAATTGAAAGTTTGGGGAACAGAGAGGAGCAAGTTGAAAATAGAGTATCGAGAACAGAAGACAAGGTAGAGGAATTCGAGCAAACAGTAATCATCAACAATGCTAATATGAATGGAAAATCCATGGGATCTGGGACACCATGAAAAGACCAAATCTATGAATCTTGGGTATAGAAGAAGGAGTAGAAAAACAAACCAAAGGCATAGACAATCTATTTGATAGAAAAATTGCTGAAAAATTCCCTAATCTCAAGAGAGTCATCCAGGTACAGGAAGTTTACAGAACATCAAACCATCAAAACCCAAAAAGAAACACACCCAGACATATCATAATCAAAACGCTCACAACAGAGAACAAAGAAAATACTGAAAGCTACAAAAGAGAAAAGACAAGTCACATATAAAAGCGAGCCCATTAGAATAACAGCAAATTTATCAACACAAACTATAAACTCAAGGAGGTCATGGAAAGACATAATTCAGGCCCTGAAAAAAGCAACTGTCAACTTAGACTAGTCCATTCAACAAAACTATC